AAGCTTTTTTAGGAATTTTTTTATTGCTGCTCTTGGCTCGGTTTTGCGTTCTTTTAGAAAGTATGTTTAGTTGAAAACAAAATTGACGCCGGAGCTCCCCTTTAAAGATGGCGCCAGCTAAATGCACGCAGTGAAAACGCAAGTATTCGGAGTTTCGTTGGAGATAAGACGATGCATACTGAAACACTCGAGTCAAGGTTTGAAAAAGTCTGGAGCCTCGTCCAAATCTATGAGCTCTCCCCTTGTCGCCCTGCGGCAACGTCGCGGCCCCACGATCTTGATCGCCGCTGCCGCCGTTGACGAAGGTGGCCAGAGCGACGGCGATTCCGACGAGGGAATTTACGAAGATGTCAATGACAGCGTCGATGATCGCCTGTCTCGAATTTACGTTCAAAGTTTTTTTTTTTTTTTCGCGACTCAGTTAAAGGTCGATTTCGTACATCTGCTAAGACTGCGGGTGGCAAACGCGTAGCAACAGGGTATGTAGCGCATCAGAATCGCGTACCAAGTACCGATTTCCTGCCTTTTATGCCCGATATATCAAACACTTGTTCATATAAACCACTAAACAAAGAATGTGTATTGTAAAGCTGATAATGTATGATGTGATCAGTTTTTGCTTTGCTGAGTAACAGGCTTGAGCTGAGCTAGTTGGTTCATAGTTCACTTAAGGCCAGCTGAACTAAAAAAAACATACACTTAAAGGAAAGACCATTCACACCGCTGGAACAGCCTTGCTCGCCAGGTGATGGTGGCGATTAAGAGGATAAGCGTCTGTGGGTTGGGTTGCTGAGTAATTTGCTTCACTTTGTGTTTGTCCGTCTTTTCTTTTTCCAAACCCGTGTCAGTTTTTTTTTTATTTTTACAATGGATTATTATTTTGGGCATTTTATGAGGCCAGTTTAGATTCAACGATAATCGGTTATAACGATTGAATTTTCGGGTTTTCTCATTATCGTTATAAGTGGATTTCACTCGTGCATGTATGTATGGATGGATGTATTTGTGCGGCGAAATCTCTTTAAACCGAGAACCTATAAAATAAGCACGCGATAAAAAAAAAGTTTACAGAATTGAAGTACGTTCCATCTTAGATAACGTTTCTGGATTGTCCACCAATCCTCAAGCCTCTGTTTCGAGTACGTGAAGCAGTTTAGTTATTCCGTCAATTCAAGGGCTTGTTCAATACTGGTGCCGAAACCTGGTGTACGTGCAAGTGCCGGACTCTGAAGCAGCAAATGCGATATTATCTCCTCCGCATCTGCACATGCACTGCAGAGCGTGTCCGACACGTTGATGTCGTATTAGCATGTGTATAGAGGCGGGTACGCAAGGCACCGCTACGGGCTCCAATGAGAAGGCGGCTGCCCAAGTATTCTCACAGAAGTTGATGGAGCCGATATCGGTCTTGAGCGATCTGTTCAAATGGAAGCTCGTGTGGTCTCGCATTTCTGTCCTCAACCGGTCCGCCTCAACGGTTGGTAACTCATTCTTTCTGAGTTGGAGGCTCGTCGCTCATAGAGAATGCACCGTACTTCGTTCCAAGCCGGGTAGCAGCGGAAGATTTGGCGGTCCCGTATATTTCCTACTTCTTTTGCTTATCATTGTTTCTCCCTTGGCTCGAAAAACTATTCTAAATGTTATATATGGACATCTCTCATAAGTAGTACGTACATTTATTTATTGTACCACCAGGGCCCGAAGGCATTACAGAGGGGGAGAGCGTATAAAAGGAAAGGAAAATGTAACGAAACAACAATACGGTATACACATCACAATAAGGGAAACACACAGGTCAGAAGTCAGTGCAAAAATGGTTAGTAATGGCACAACGAAAACTTTTAGGGCCAGTTATGGCAACAATCAAACCGGGAAGGTGGTTCTGTTCTTCAGCTGTGCGGGGTAGAAAAGATTAATAAAATGTATTGGTTAATGAGTTTGGGACCCCAACTTTGTGCTGGTGATCAACACGAGATTATATGTACTAAGGGGGAGTTACGATATGGTCGCGTAATATTGGATTATGACAACAAAAAAAATCTTAATGGGAGAGGCATAGGCGTGAAATTTTACGGCGAAGTGAAAGAGATGGTAAAGCTAAACTGATTTTCATTGACGAGACACTGGCGGTGCGGGGATAGTTGGATAAAATGAAACGGGCTGATCTATTTTGAATGTATTCCAAAGCAGTGACGAGGATATTCTGACCGGGATCCCAGATGGAGGCTGCATGTTCTAGTTTAGGTCTTATTAATGTTTTATAGAGGACCAATTTAAACGGATTTGATTTTGCAAGTACCGCAAAACCTTCGCTTTAGTGAAATGCTGTTCCAGGATCACCGCATAGATGGTGCAAGCGTGCCAGGGTATCTTTTTTTGTCGTTAAAGTTTTAAAAAGGTTTTCAGGAACTCGGTCGTAAGCGGTTGCATATAGGTGTGAACCTGCCTTAACGTTCTCATGTAGGGCTCTCCTGGTTGGCAGCCGTCGTTCTGCGACCCGTTTTCGACGGGGAAGTGGCACGTTTTTTGTCGCTGTCGGCCAGACGATCACCTGGCGTGATTACCTCCACTGATTGTATACGTACCCGAAGTCCAGAATACTCCACGAAGAGAACGGGTAGAAGAGCTGCAAGATCCGGGGTGGCGACTTGCCCTCCAGTTGCCGGTGTTTGAGGAGTGGCGTTAGGTATTGGGGCAATGAACTCATGCGAATGACTAGTTTATCGTGTATATATAAATATATTTTGTTATTTTATTTATAACTATATCACTCGTAATTTTGTGAGATGAGTTGGAGCAGTCGGCGTCGGTCCTGCACCTTCAAAAATCTCCAGCCCGAACATTTTATGTTAAGATATTGTATTAAGAAACGTCCTGACTCTCCGCACCAACCATGTGGCGCTCTGCACGTTTTCGGGCGTGTTTTGGTTAGCACTAATACTTTATAATCTAAACTGAAACTCCAGGCATAGTTGCTCCGCGTGTCATTTAAAATAATCAATACCTGTCGCGTCGTCCTAAAAAAAAAACAAAAAAAAAAAACAGCAACAACAACAACAACAGCCGTCCCCTGACATTTCTATACAAGAAAGGAGGGGGTGTTTCGATTCACAAAGGACAACTGTGTTTACCATTCACTTTTTCGAACGAAGCATTGTGCCTGCCTCAGGGAAGGCGTGACTGCTAAAACTGCGTCCCAAAGAAGCTTTTTTGCGAGCACCGGCTTTTTTTGTGTGTGTGTGTTTAATGTTTAATTGATCTCGTAAAAAATGCACTTTGGGATGCGCAATTTTTGTTTCTGCACCTTGACTGGTACAAGAATTGAATATTGAGTAGTCCGAATGACAAATGATGATATCCAAGTGGCGTGTCTTATAGTTCCTTCATCGACCACCACTGAAGGAATCCGTGAAGCCTGCGTCGCTGGAACGACGCACACTGTGCTCTGGATACTCGCCAAGGGAAAACGTTCACCGGTTGCAAGGTGAGGGAGCATTCGCTAATGTTTTGAACAGTCAAAACTTTTGCTGCTAGCTATGAATGTTGTAGAGTTTATGTTTTATATTTATGGCATCATCTTTAGCGATAAGCGACAGTAAGGGACAGCCGTGTGTAATGCGGGAAATTTCATATATAAAAATGGAAAGTAAAAGAATGTTTTGGTTCGGGGGAACACCTGTCTTTGTTCTCTGTTTCTGAAGAGCAGTTAATTATCCTAGCAACTCTATTCGGAACACGTAGCAGAGCGCGTTGGATAGACTACAGTTCACACAGAAAGAATAAAGAAAACAGACGAGGGGCAGACACTCACAGTCCTTTCAACGAGCAACGACATTTATATGTATGATGGGCATCATCTAAATGTCGTTGCTCGTTGAAAGAACTGCGAGTGTCTGTCCTCGCCTATTTTCAGTGTTTTTATTCTTTCTGTGTGAGCTCAACTCTATTTATATTGAGACAGTATATCTTAAGCAACCTGATGTGTGTTTCCTCTGCCCGTGGCTCAGCGCGCTACGTAACGTTACTTGGAATCCCATGAATTCCTGTATACTTTGAAAGTGCGGCCAAAAATGCAGTGAGAAATGAAACATGGATTGTTACCGCCCGATTTTGGCAGTAAGAGGAGCACTAGGCAACGAGTAAATGAATGAAATAAAATAAAAAGTAGAATACAAATAAAATTCCTTTTGCTGCCGCGAACCACTTTCTCAGCCACGGTGAAGAACAAGACGCTAGCTTCATTTCAGGGTTATATAATTACAATGCAAGAAGTAAAAAAAAAACAAAAAAAAAAAAACGCAAATGAACTATTTGGAAAACATACTTTGAACTTTCAGACCAAAAAACAAACAAACAATAAAACAATAAAAATAAAAAACAACAACAACACAAACACAGTCTCGGTTTTCAGTTATAGTCTGTAGTAAGTTAAAGAGTAGCAGGGCAAGCTCCTCGCACAAAGCCTTCCATTCTTTGGTCTTTAGCAGAGCTAACGCTGAAGAGGAGGTGATTCCACTGTAAGAAATCGCACCTAATTAAACATGAGGAAGATACATAGAAAGGGGGCACGTCCCCCCTTTCTATGTGTCTTCCTCATGTTTAATTACTGTTACCAACACGCTCGTTTTGTACTTAAATCGCACCTGTTTTTTTTTTTTTAGTTCTAAATATACGACGAACCTCGTCATCTTGCTGAGCTCCTTCCGTATATTGCGACGACTCGTTTCCCCAAGTGCTCAGCAAAAAAGAAGATGGTCCTGATTTGTCAGAATGTGAAGAGGAGAAAACCACAAATCGGGGCGAGTATAGAGCTTTGATGAAGGGGTTTGTTGTACTATCCTAAACCTGAAACACACCACTATATAGGATCATAATTTTTTCCCCCTTGTCTCAGGGTTTGAAGTATAATTCCGCTCTTCATTTCCTCGCAGATAAAGTGCGTCGCGATGTTCTGGGAGAAAAGAAAAGTGTATCCTGTTCCCACCAAGAGCCTGGTGCCGATGTCCCTGGCCTTCAAGGGCCACTTTGTGCAGAACAGCTGCCATCCCTTCTACGCGGGCTTCCGCAAGATCGCCCGCTTCCACCGATACATCGGCACCTGCTTTCTGGAGAACCTCAATTCTAACGACTACAGGGATGTTCGCTGCAACCGCCGCAGCTTCTACCTTATCTATTTGATCTCCCTCTGGTCATTCATACTGGGTAAGTAGTCGGCTCCTCTCCCGCGCGCATTGTGCTCACTGAATACTTAAGGTGCAACCCCACCATATATGCCGCTTTGCTTCATTTTTTACGGTTTATAACTTTCTTTCTATGTATTCTACACTCATAAAGTTAATGTTAAATTAAATAAATGTTCCTTAGCTATACTTTAATGTCCCGATATTACGTTTATTTGTAGTTGTTAGTTTATTATTTATCTTGTAATAGACCACAGTTTCTGATATTGAACAATATTTTTCTTGACTTTAACGTCCCAATATCCACGATAATTTATGTGAACGGTCTGTTAGATGTAGTGAATTAAAAAAGTAGCAATTAACTGTACAAATCATGTATATTTGTAAATAAAAATAAATTTTAAAATAACGTTTATTTCCTCGTGCTGTAAAAACGGAATCACGTCAGCTAACGAAAATAACGAGAAATTAAATTATGAAGAATCTTTTGATATTACATTTTCCAGAACCTGCATATCGATAGATTACACCTGAAGTACAGTATTCAATTCCAAACTTTTCCCATTTAGTTACGGCAAGTTGCCGTTTTCTAATATCAAATACAGATGGTGACACATGTTCAAGATTAGCATTATTTAAATTTGTCGCCATGTGCCGCTTGGAATGCCACGTGAGAGATAGAAATCTCACCAAATTCGTGGATGTCAAATGCCTGGATGCCCGCAGTGAGCGAGCCAGAGATATAACAACAACAAGCGCGAGGCTGCGAGTGGACCACAGCTGCGTTTACGCGCGTTTCACTGTGCTTCGGTATGCCCAAATGAAATTGACTCCGTGAAAGAAAAAAACGACGACGACGACGAGCTGGGATGAAGCTGTTTTTTCAAAGCTCTTGCAATTTTTCCAGATTGTGCACTGTTACAATAGCTTCGCACACACCTTAGATTGACATTCGACGCTGTTTGAGTGCTGCGCGACTTTACCTGTTGCCAGCACCAGACGCCGGTGCGGAAATCAGAATGTACTAATACAACCGGCTACTTCACGCTGGACATGGACATCCCTCTCCAACCCAACGTTACTGGAGCAAGCTCAGTTTCACAGCTCCGCGTGCGACGTGGGCTCAGTGGCGGTCACGAGAACTAGCAGCGCTGCAGTCGAGTCTTGCTTCCGGATTTTCTAGCCCGCCAAGTTTGAATAGCAATACTTCAGCTTCGGCGAGTTTTTGATTCGTACTAACACTTCACAGTGCAAGGAAACAGACGCACGCAAAAATAAATTTCAAACACTCAAAGAAAAAACACTCACAATGCGCTCACTCTGATCTCTGTGGTGTATTACACTTCATCTTCCTCATTTTCTTTTTTGCTATTATACACATGTAAGCAAAAAAAAAAAAAAGAAGAAATTAAAAAGAAAAAGAAGCTCTCAACGCAGTGGTAGCAGACAACGCGCGAGACAGGGAAGCAAGATCCGACAGTAGCGCCCCGCTAGTTCTCGTGACCGCCACCTGGGCCACTCGCCTCTGCAGGCGAGAATAGGGAGCTGCGAAACTGAGCTTGCTCCAGTAACGTTGCTCTAACCCAACCCGTACGAAGAACTCTCTGACGATGCCACTGACCAGAAAATCACATTTGGTCAAGGAAATCCATCCACAAGCCAGGCGCTGAACAAGCCAGGTCAAGCAATCAAATAATCACCGAGTCAGAAGGCTAGCAACTAGAAGGAGAGGTCAAAGAGGGTACTGTGATCTCTAAGTGTGAGTCATACAACACAGTAGGCTCTCGGAAACGTCCTCGACCAGGTGCAAATTCTTCAAGCAACAATACCATCATCACACCCACATCATATCTCACGTGCATTGGACATACTGCGATCTTCACAACACAGGACCCGATATGCAGATCATCTTAAATAGCCTCAGATTGACAAATTTCTTCGATAACATTGCACCTTCCTGCGTCCTCGAAATCAAGGTAAACAAGAAGCTGAATCTATAGACACGCGCAATCTCTACACCACGGCGACTCTACTGAAATTAACCAAGATCCTTGGAATTCCTGTCTACACCTACGAGCCACGCAACGAAAACACCTCAGTAGGGGTTATTCACGACACTGACCTAGTCATCACAATGCCACAACTTCGCGAGAAGCTCAAATGCAACGCGACAGTAGGACCACTACGGCGTCTAGGAGCGTCACGTACTGTACGCTTAACATTTAGTTCTCCTATTTTACCCAGTCATGTGCTTGTTGGGGGTGTTAGGCACAGGGTTTGACTCTTTTACACATAGGCAGGCACAATGCACCAATTTCGGAAACTTAGGTCATGTCCTCGCTGCTTGCAAGAACTCAGAGGCCTGTACGCGATGTTCAAAAGATCACCTGTTAGAAGCTTGTGGTGCAGTACCGCTTACTGCATCAACTGCGGTGGGGAACACGAGGCTTTTTTTCCTAAGTGGCTGACACAAAAGCTTCAGGATGCTCATGGAATGCGCTTACACTCTGCTAATGTAGACGTCACGTCTGCAAGCCATGCTCAACCGGCGCCCCAGAGGGACAGAGACAGGACAATACAAAAACGCAAGGAACTAGAGCAATGCTCGGTAGTCAGCTACCGAAAAGAGGGGCTCGAGCATTCAAAACCTACACAAGATAAAAATAGCGAAAAGCAGAAATTTTTGAGGTCTCTTTTAGATTTTCCCCTCTAAGTATGGCATCCCAAAGTAATTCTAAGCCACCAATTTAAGCACCCGATGTGATTGATTCCTCCAAATAAAAAATAATAATTATGCTAACGTTTTGAAGACAGTCTACACTACGATCACGCATTCAAATAAGGAGTCTGCCCCTACCCAGCACAAAACTAACCATGGAAACCAAGGACAGAAAGAGACTTCTAAGCCAAATGAATTTGATCAGTCTGACTGGAAAATAACCCCTAAAACACTATATTACCAAAGCCACCAACTTTCTCAGTCAGTTCTCCTCACCATTAATACAAGGCCTCATCAAAATTCTTGCCTTTCTCATTCTCATAATCCTAGATTCGTTTAAACAACAGTTTTTGTTTTGCACTGGAACGCACGAGGCCTTCAGTCAAAAGTGTCTGATTTCCGCCATTACCTCAGAAAAAAGCCTTGTCTTGTTATAGCGATATCCGAACACGGAGTTCGGGACAACTTTAAAATATCAGGATATAAAACTTTACTCAAAAAAACATCCAGGGAACAGCAGAACATTATTAGCAATCAAAAATGATTTAATTTACGTTGAACAAGACACTGGTTTAGAAAATGACAATGAATATGTATCTGCAACCGTTATAGTTGGTACTAAGTCAATAACGTTTATATCTGCATACATACCTCCCAACGTGACATTCCGTGTTAAGCCGCTAGAAAATATCCTAGTAGCGGTGCCGAAACTGTGCGTTCTTTTAGGAGATTTCAATGCTCATCACGAGCTTTAGGGCAGTTTGAGAAGCACTCTTAGAGGGCATGAACTCCTTGACGTTACCATTAACGCCGATCTTGTCAACATTAATGACGGCACACCCACATTTTTCAGGGGAACAGGCGTAAGCAGTTGCTTGGACTTGACATTTGTGTCAAAGAAGCTAATAGACAAATGCAATTGGCAGCCAGCTCCTGATACCTGGGGAAGTGATAATTTGACCATTGCAACATCTACAACTGGTTTTGAAGTACCTAAACCACGACGTAAGATAAGTAAAAGAAATTGGGAAGCCTTTCCGGCAAAAACAACAGAAACTAACGCAGAATATGAAAGGTTCATGCTATAAGAAGAAGAACGGAACGGAGAGTAAGACGAATATACAAAACTGTCGACCTCCGAGAGGCACGTTGGACGCATCGTCATGTAAGGCGTCCCTTAAAACTTGTTGGCTAAACGTAGGTGGATCAGATACTGCGAAAAATTGGATCCTCGCAGTTTCAAATAACAAGTATATAGAGTTGTGCGCGGACTGAAGAAAACACCGCAACAGTTACATCCTTTTGGGGCTTTGTCTCTAACGGAGAAATGCTCGGAATTAGAAGTAGCCGACGAGTTTTGTACGATGATGGCAGAAAAACAACAACGCCTTTTACACGTCAGTTAAGACACCCAAAATAATATCTTAACAACTTCACAAGACTCAAAACTTGATACGCATTTTCACTTCAGGAACTTACAATAGCTATAGCCGCTGCAAATAAAAAGTCATCACCTGGCGCGGATGATGTAGCGTACATGGCGCTGGCACAATTAAAAAAGAACTCCTTAATAAAACTTTTAGAGGTTCTATATAGGTCATGGGAAATAGGCAATATGCCATAAGCGTGGAAATAAGCACAAATTATACCTTTTTTAAAGCCAGGAAAGCCACCAACCGCTTATACTTCTTTCCGCCCAATTACGCTTACAATCTGCATAGGAAAAACGTTAGAAAAATAATACAGGGTAGGCTCACTTGGTACCTTGAGTCAAACGGTATCCTTTTAAAAAAAAATGACAGGTTTTCGCTCGGGAAGATCTACTAGCGATAGCGTACTAGACCTTGTCAGTTCTGTCGAAGAGGGCCACGCAGAAAATAAAATCACAGCCGCAAGTCTTCCTAGACATGAGGCAAGCTTTTGATTGTATCAAACATAAAGCCATCCTTGCCTTTATTAAAAAATAGGTATTGTAGGGAAAAGGCTTCGTTGGATAACGAACTACCTAAAAGATAGGTCAATAATCATGACGAGACTTGCACAAAGAAATATAACATCTCAAGAGGCGTTCTTCAAGGGTGTGTGCTTAATCTAAATCTTCAATATCGCGTTATTGTCGGTAGCAGGCGTTGTCCCCGCAAACGTCATGACCGCAATTTAGGCGGACGATATTTGCTTGTGGTCTAGCAACGCTCGGCGTGACGTACCACCACGTAGACTTCAGAAAGCTATGCACTTGGTTAGCCAACAAATATCAAAACTAGGGCTCTCTTTGTCAGCAGAGAAAACAACAGCCATGACTT